AACCAATCACTGGAAAAGGTGAAATTGCAATGGAGATTAATTGCAGATTGTATCAACAATAGCGAGTAGGCAAGACTGATAAGATTGCAATAGCCTAACGGAGTACATTTTTGTCTTGGACTCATGAGGCTATGGTTAAGCATCAATGTTCTTTTAAAGTTACATAGAAACACATTATCTTATTACGGTCTTCCACTAAAACAAACCTTTAGCTAACCTTAGATAAACGTACTGTGTATTATTAATTTATTTAGCTGTTTATTGGCCTAAATTATATAAATAACATGCTTAAAACCTCTCAAGTACAGTATATGGTCCATGAGCACTAAACCAACGTTAGAAGCCTAGTGATTACATTGTCAAAAATTACCATTTACAGGTGAAACCATTTCATATCGCAGAGTAAACAAGATGGAAACAATTATCTTCCACATTTATTTGCACAATTACCATCCTGATATGACCACTCCATCGCCCCAGTCGTTAACACACTAAGTGCAGGCGATGAGTCACAATAACGTGGCTGAAGTAGTTTGACCAGACCACACACTAGCAGGTGAAGGGATGACGACGTTTCGGTCCGTCCTGGACCATTCTCAAGTCGACTTGAGAATGGTCCAGGATCGAAATGTCGTCGTCAACACACTAAACAATCTAGGGTGGCTTGTTGCTAAACATTACAAGTCACCTTTAGCTTAGCTACAAGACACGTTGTGCATATTATCAAACTACCTTTAATGTCATAATGCAGCAGTTTCCGCGCTCAAAATACAGATAGACAAACTCCTCAGGAACCGTAGGGGAACCTTTGACAAGCCGCCGGCTTCATGTTGCCGTAGAGGGCACTATGGAGAAATGGTGGCCCTCTGGTAAATTTAAGTCAATATTACCTAGGAGTAATGATGTACCAACCATTGAACATCTGGGACTCACAGTTAATATGAAAACAATCCTTAAGAATAGTTAAACGAATCTTTGACTGAAACGAACAACAATGAATATTGAACTGTACGAGTCTCTGTTGTGGTCCCATCTGGCCTACTGTGTCCTAATATGGAAACTTCACTTCAAAAAGATATCAATGATTTTCCGCTTTGGAGAAAGTTCAAGACAGCAACAACAATCATGCCAGAACTTGTTCAACTGTCACTACCACGAATCTTTAAAGGACTAACACTATAAATGTTTAAATTGTTATAGATTTTGATAGATTACCCTATAAATTTTCCTAGAAATTACCTACTTAATATTATCTGTTAGATTAAGGCCCTGCCCGAAGCGCTATGCGTACTAGTGGCTTTACAAGAATGTAAACACATCATGCTATGTACTCTCAGAAACCCAATGTAACTTCTTATAGATATATAAATAAATAAATAACAGCCGAGGCCTTTGTAATACTATTTTAATGCATTGCTTTATACTTTGTAAAGTCTTTTAGAGAAGTGCTTTGTATTTATAACCTCCAACTTTGTCAGTATTACAAATTAAAAAAAAAAAAATTATAATAGTGACCAAATTGCAGGCTATTAATACAGACCACTTCTCTAAAATGCCATATTTGACACAGACAGGCTGGACAACAGCTTCAAGCTCAACAAGCCACAATGTAACACAGAAAATAGATGTGTTGTTCCCCCCATTGGGTTATTAACCCATGAACCCGCTTAACCACTCAAGTCGTAAATGCCGAGTATTATAGATTGTGTGTTGGTTGTGTTGTCGTCGTTGCTGATCCTTCCTTCTGGACAACGCAACCCACACCTCGGTAGTGTGTCTATACTTTACCAGATCACCCCTGGCGCTTCTGGCTCTTGGAGAGGGGCTCAACGTCACACGTTTAGGGGATGCGGCTCCAATACTTAGCCTCGTTGTCACGTGCACACACCCACTCGAGCTGCTGTGACTCCCCACTCTCTCCTTAGGTGATATGATCTCCTCAATCCCCTTTGACTTACTAGTATTACCTTCTACCCTGTCTACAGTAGTGGTTCTTGATTCTTTCTCTCTCTCTCCTTCTTAACTACCTCCTGGGAAGCCTCACTAGGATAAGGGCAAACACCAGCAAAATGGAATACATTTACTGGACAGAGTACATACACAATACATACACACATAATAATAATGAATCCTATACTCTATACTATTACAATCAGGTTGCACTCCAACACCATCAGAACTCTATCATCAGCTTATCAAGTGGTATCCTATCTCCTGGTTCACCACCTGATACTATCAACCTCCTCAAATAGATGAAGTCTTATACTACAATGTTGCACTAATCAGCGAGAGAATATATCTATACACATGTACAAGGAAAATCAGCATTGCATGCAATAACATATATATATATCGGTATAACTATTCCTTGGTACACAACAATGATCAATCGATCACTATCACTCCTAGAACACATACATCTGTAGGTAATCCAGCCTACGATTGTAACTCTAAACTTCAGTATAAAACACTCCTTGACATAAGAATGCAAACAATCACTCACCTCTCACTGCGTCTTGCACGCTAATGACAACCAAACACTATCAACTCCCTACAAGTATTCCACCAGAACTTCCCTTCCACCTCTGGAAGTTCACTACCCTGATCTTTTCAGGTTCTTCTGGGCTTAACTACCAGGATCCTCTGCAGCTCCTCCAGGCTGCTACCATGAAGTTTCCTTGCGCAACTACGGTGCTTCACCCTTCTGCTAGGTTCCTCCACAGCTCTCTGGGCTGCTACACCATGAAGTTCCCTCGAGCAACTATGGTGCTTCACCACCTCTACAGAAGCACGTGACACTCCTCTTCACTGCTTCTCCTCACAGCTCGAGGTCCTCTGCTCCACTATCTTGGCGTCTCATCAACTACTTCCTCTGTGCTGGCTTCGAAGTTCTCAGCAACTTCTTCCCTAAGGACAAACCACAGATTATCTGGTCGAGGGCGCTCCTCCCTCTGGCGAAACTTGGTCAGGGCGCTGCCACGGCCCACAATAATGCCTCTGGGCGGTTTAATAAACACTCCTCGTCGACCAGGACTTGAGATCACAACGTTCCCAGCTCGATTCTACAGTTGGCACATCTGCACACTTCTCTTCTCTTCTCTTGGAGATATATCACTAGGGAACCCTTTCTGACGGGAGCTCAACGGAGTGTGGCTTTCCCCTGCGATGTCTGTGGCTCAAGTGAGGTCAAAGCCCTCCAGAAGCTAGCGTCACGCCTCCCGCAAAGTATCTACATCTCCTAACCGGTCATTTATCTGTTTTCTTCTTCACTGTCCATTATTTTAAACTGCTCAGCGAATTTTTCTAATTATTTCTATACAGGCATACCTCAGTTTAAGAGTTTAATTGGTTCCTGGAGACGCCTCGTATTCCGAAAACTCGCATTCCGAAGCTAATTTCCCCATAAGAAATAAAGGGAAATGAATTAATCCGTTCCTGACTACCCCAAAAACCCCACATCAAACTAAATTTTGATACCTAATTCATCTAAATAAACCTACAAAACTATGTTCAAGTTATTACTTACCTTGCTGTTGAATGCTGTAAGCGTATGGAAGATGGTGAGGAGGTGGGAGGAAGAGAGGAGTTACTGTTTAGAAGGGGAGTCCCCTTCCATTATCACATCAGGCAGTGAGGACTTCACTGGTATGCACACTCTGGCACATTTTGCCTGCATACAACTAGGACTTGCTTGTTTTACTAAGAATTTATCCTATGACACTTGTTTTTTCCTACATTTTAACACTTGTCTGTAGTAAGACATCACATTATCATTTAAAAGGTCAATGCAACGGCCTGCTACAGCTTTATCTGGGTGAGTTTTTTCAACAAAACTTTGCAGTTCTTCCCATACTTCACACATTTTCTTAATCAAGAAGGGACATCCTCTACTGCCTCTACTCACAGCTATTTTCTTAGGTTGAACCTTACCAATGGCTTTCTTGAGACCCATGGCAAGATATATAATGACAACTTTTATGCTCAAATGGCAAAAAAAAACGATAAAAAACTGTAAATCCTTGTGAAGAATTCAGGTGGGATAGTCACTGGACACGAGACACTGGTAAACTGAGGCGCGATCGCCATGCCACCACGCGCCAGTCGGCCTGTACACGTATCAACAAACTCGCGTCTCGAGGTAACCCTCACCTTCCGAGACATATTTTTGGAGTAAATCCTGCTCGTCTTCCGAAAAACTCGCATACAGGGACACTCGCATTCCGAGGTACCACTGTATATGAATCTTCATGTCAGTATATCTCCGACCTCCTAGTTAGGTCAGGCTTGTTGAATAACTCTCAAGGGGGAGACTCGTTTCTCCTGTAGGCTGAGATCATAACACGAGTCATTCCCTTTGTTCACAATATACACAAGACAAATCCTCAATAAAATCACAGTAAACACAGTAAATACTTCACAGTAAACAATGGGAACACATGGCCTGGTGGAGTACATTCTAGGTCCGTGGGAAAAAAAATACCTAGTGCCTATACTGTACTATAAAAGGTATTTAATAAGAAAACAAAGACTTTTGCTTAATAAAAACTTTCAAAATATTTTATTAATAATAATTTACAATTTTCTTCATTAAACTGAATCATTTTAAAAGAAAATTAAGATGTAATATATGACTCTGGACGATCCAGGTCAGTGGCCTGGTCGCCATGTGAGGGGACGCTGATGCCACAACAAACCCAATATCGACCGCCAGACCAGTATAGCAGGCTCCAGATACCGGTCTCCCAAACCGGTCGTTAATACCGACAGATCGGTATAAAAGAGGCCGTTAAATTGAGTGGATACTGTACTGTGACGCATGATTGCGACTTTGAGCAGAGCAGGAAGCCGCCATAGGAATCTAACCCACCCTGAGGACCTAACCCGACCAACAACAGGCGAGGTCCCCACCTGACTAGCCCACCTCCAAAAGGGGGACAGAACAGACAAGGGGGAGGGGGGGAGCATCCCATCCTTAAATTGAGGTTATAATAATTAATGTATTTTCAGACTTTTTTAATCATTACTTATTACAACAATGTAAATATAAATATCTACTATACATTGATTTTTTTTTGTTCTATAGTGATTTATAAACCACAAAATGACAACCATCTAGTATGCAGACAAAAAAATTGGCACTACTGATGCATGTATTTTTTTGTTGGGAAAGAATATTAAATTTGTATTAAATTCTGCCACCTACACTACATGTATAAAAATTGGCATGAAACACTACTGATGTATAGTATCAGTACTCTCATGCCATGTACTGTATGTGTGGGAAATATCTTCAAAAGTTTAAGAATTGTATAGAAAATATTGTTAAGGCTAGTCTGAAAAATAAAAACTCATTTTGATATTCTTTGAAGATCATCGCTTAATTACACTCATTGCTGTCAGACAGGGAAAGTTTCCTTTTTTTTGTGTGTGTGTGTTTACTTTTCTCTTTCTTTCTCTTATGTCTTTTATCTTTATGTTGCTTTGAAGACCTTGCTATATCATCTTTCTGACTATAATTGCTGTTTGATTCAAGAGTTGAAATTTTTCCATCTTTATTATATTCTACCTTTACAATGTCTTCAAATTCTTCACCCAAACTATTCTTTATCATTTTTGTTGTATCCTTTTTGAAACTCCTATCCTTCCTGATTTTAAATTTACAGTCGTGTAATTTATCAAATGCTTTGACTGATGCATCATGTTCTGCACTATGTATATTTATTTCATTCTCAAATCTTTCATAACTATGTTTATCACTATATTTTTCATTTTTTTCATTATCATTGTATCTACATGCTACTGCCTTATATGCTTTCTCACATTTTCCCACTCCAATTTTATATTTTTTACCTCTTGGTAGATATTTTTTGTCTGTACAATTATCTTTGTTAAACATTGCTTCATGCTTCCTACTTCTTTCATTTTTACTCCATTTTTGGCTCTCTTTTTCATATTCCTTTTCACATGTAAAGTGATTTTTTAGGTGGCTATTACATAGTATATCATAGTGTTTTTCATGCTTCCATCTTTTGCTTCTACACTTATGATTTTCATGGTCTCTCCATCCAAATTTTAATTCATTTGGCCTGTTAGATTTTGTATCTTTTTCTGCACTAGACCTAATGTTGTTGGTTTCATTTTTATCTCTGGGCATAAACTTTGACTCTGCTGCAAAATTGTTTTTGACTTCGATATTTTTCTGACTACAATTATGTTCAAGCAAATTTACTGAGGCAACAGAATATTTGGGAGTTTCAGTGTCCAATTCTTCTGCACCAAGAATAACCATCATGTTGTGGATAATTTCTCGAGTAACCTGAAAAGGAAGACTACAGTAAGTTTAAACCAATAGTTTATGGTATTTACACATTTTTATTAAAAAACCCAACATTGAATGTAATGAAACATCTCTTACTTGGTAAACCCCAAATATTAAACCCCAGTCGATCCCTGAAGCTATCTATGAGATAGATAGGTCATTTCTAGGTCACATCAAGTGTGAAGTTCTGTTTGGACTACTGGGAACCAGAGTCTGAATCTGCTCCCCCCCCCCTCACAGAGGGAGGTGCAGAGAGCAAATGATATATATTCCTGGTGGGGTGGCAGAATGTATCCTGGAAGTCTGAGAAGTAATACAGACTACTGCTGGGTTCAAAGAGATCTAGGCCTTAAAATGCCAAATGAACTCTCCTGTACAATGCAAACAAATGATTGAATCTCTCAAAACAAACACAAGCTTGTTAGTACTACCACTCTAGTTGGTGGGGCCAGTCTCTCCAGTGCCCACTGGGCTATGAAGCCAGTTTTGGAGCAGATGCACAAATGAAACCCCCAACCAATGATCTGGAGGAGAGGAAGGGAATCAGGGAGCCACTGGAGCTCATCTAGAAAGAGGCATTTCATATAATTTAATACTGGGTTTCTGGGGGAAACCCCCTTGTCGCTTTCTGAAGCTAACTACTCACAGAAAACAAAGAGGGGGACTCACCAGGTAGGAGAAACTGCAGGCAGTCACAATGAATCTGAGACTCCAGGCCCAAACACATGACCCAAGGTGAGACCATAAGAGGTGAGGAGATGGAAATTTTAGAGGTAGATAAGAGCAAGGTGAAAGGTATGGTAGGTAAGGTGTAATAAAGGGTGTAATAATAGGAATAAGAAAGGGATCATAAGAGAGAAAAAAAAGAAAAAGAAAGATTAATCTTTAACTGCGCAGCCTATAAATATGACACACCCCAGTGCGCAAGAAATAAATTCTCGGGAAAAAATTCTTTTTAGTTCTGAAAGTGCCAAAAACCCCTCCCTGTATATGGGTATAGCACTGGAATTTCGAAATTGTACTTACTTTGGCTGCTATGGGGTCCATAAGGTGGCGTGTGACGTCATCATTCCCTGTGTGCCAGTGCAGTAAGCTCCCGGGGCGGGGCGCGCGAGTTGCCGCGAATATATTTTTGTTCATTTTTTGCGCGCAGGTCCAAATACATTTTATTTGTTTTTATGCGCTAATCCTATGTATAAGCCCCACCCCAGCCCCGGGAACCCACCCAGCAAGCCCCGGGGCTGAGCTGACCCCTCAAAGCCCCAGCGTCAAGAAAAACCCCGGGGCAGCCGTGAAAAACACTAAGGAAGGGAGCCCACTAGGCTCTGGAACTTGAACCGAAACCGGAGGATGGGCGAGGGGCGAGACGAAGACCCCAAGCTCATACCCAGCCAGCACAATGAGGCGAGGACTAAACAGAGAATCCAAGTAACATGGAAAAACCAGGCCCGGCACAGCAAAACCGGCAAGGAAGGAGAGCCCCAGAGGGAGCACGGAAGGGTCGAACATAATGCCACAACCAACCCCGACACGCAGCTGCAGTACCAAAACCACAGCAAAACGTCGCCACACTCCCCGAGGAAGCGACAGAGAAGATAGATAAATCGTACACGAGTGGCACACAAGGGGACACAGGCAGAAACCGAGCACCCAACTGAGCCACAGGGACGGTAGAAGAAACGTGTGCAGTGTAACAGGCAAACAAAGGAACACATTAGGCAGCCCAACATGGGCTGACCCCATACACAGCCCCAAGAGCAGAGATGAGAGCGCCCAAGAAGCACAGAATCTGGCCAACAGGCAAACGACAGGGGAGAGGCGGAACCAAAGAGCCAGAACCCAACCTGCAAGCACAAGGAGGCGAACACAAAACCTCCGACACAGGAAAACGTACTACTAAACAGGCACCCCCACCGTTGCACTGCGGAACAAGGTGGAGGCGGGGCCCTGAACTCAAGCAAGGTTAGACAAGCATAGGAGAGGGACAGGAGGAGTACAGGCAGGAGTCGCCTCAGAAGGGCCAAGAGGCCACCCGCAGACACCCGTGAACCGAGGAAGGAATCAGGTGGAGAGAACAAGAGCTGCCCAGCATGGGCTAATAGCCCTGCAGTAGGCACCTCGGGTGATACGGTCCACGTTCTCAAGTACGTATGTACACCCATTCCTACTCCCAAAAACAAAAACAGCGTCAGGACGAAGGAGACGCCAAACCGCACCAACTCACCTGCAGAACACAGGCGCTGAAGGGCCATGACGCAAACCTATGAGTCCGTAGCCACCAGAGGCGGCCAGGGCGCCCATGCTGGAGAGGAGGAGGGGAGCAGCGAAGGAGGCTCCCCACCCTAGAATGCAGGGAAAAACCTCGTGACTTCACCACAGCGGCACTCCAGAACACCCCCAGAGCGAGAGGCGAAGCCCCCCCCCCCCCCCCCCCCCGAGAGAAATGGATGCAGAACACCACGTGTGCACACCGCCCGGAACCAAAACAAACGCCCACGGCGCATGCGCAGGACATGAAAGAAAAGTAGCCCAACAAGGCGACAAGCAGCCCAACAAGGCGACAAGCAGCCCAACAAGGCGACAAGCAGCCCAACAAGGCGACAAGGAGCCCAACTGGCGACAAGGAGCCCAACCGGCGACAAGGAGCCCAACCGGCGACAAGGAGCCCAACCGGCGACAAGGAGCCCAACCGGCAACAAGGAGCCCAACCGGCAACAAGGAGCCCAACCGGCAACAAGGAGTCCAAACCGCTACAAAAGAGTGCAAACGGCTACAAGGAGCCCAAACGGCTACAAGGAACCAGTATGGAGGCAAACTCCGGGACACGCAGGAGGTAAGCCGCAAAGGCCAACCGCACCGCAGGCGAAGAGATGCGGGTAGCCGAAAACCTCCGGAAGACGGAACCGAAAAACCACAGGGACACGGAACCGAACCCGGGGAGGAGCAGAACCCAAGCCCAAATCGTACGCAGAGGGGGGGAAGAAAACTCCACTCCTCGCAACAGTAAGCCCCGCTCAGAAGGACGGAAATCCAGGGGGGGCACAATGGAGCCCCAGGCCCCCAAGGCCGCTCCTCCCTAACCCCAGGAGCCTCTACACCAGGCCCCGGGGCCGAGTCGACCTCCAAAGCCCCGGCCCCACAAGAAAAAGCCGGGGCAGCCGAGAGAGCTGGAAGAGAAGGGGCCCACTGGTCAGACCCCGGAGCATTGGCCGGAGGAACAGACTCGAATGCCTCCGCAGCCACCCCGGACGGGGCAACCCCCGAAACTGCCCAAGTCTCAGAACCTCTAACCCCCACCCCGACCCTGAAGCCTGCAGATGCGTAGGGGCCGGAAGCAGGAGGGGGAAAAACAATGTGGGAGTGGAAGGAACCAAGGCCGAAGCGACCAAAACCTCCAAGTCTGGGTCCCTACACAAAGCGGGTCAGCATCGGGGTGTCCGGGAAAGCGACAAACCCGAGCGCGTTGCAACAACCTACCATGCAACGCGCGAGCTGCCTGCACCCAAGGGAATTCATTAGCAGACTGGGTGAATGGAGTCACGAACAAGCAACAAAGCTCACAGGACTCGGGGTCGAATGTGTCACCGACCCAACAGGCAGCATGACGGAAGCAAAAACAAGGAGAGTCACCCTGAGACAAAGGGACAGAGCAACCCTCAACTCGCACAAAGCGAGAGAGGACGCAAGGGTCTCCACTATCGGACCCGAGAGCCCCCGGGGGTTTCCCAGGGCCCCTAGACTGGGTCTGCTAAGGGTTATCCCAGGCAGGGCACTGCTAACCGGCGCCTCAAACTACCAAGCAAACTGCTAAAGCTGAACCCACGGGACGTGTCCACCCGTGAGGGCGAAGCAGGGGGTGCCACCACACAAACGAACCTAATATAAGGGGGGGGGGGGGACACAAGGCAGACCCCCTACCAGGCAAAAACAAATATAAAAGAAAAACCACACAAGTGGACAACGTACCCAGAGGGAACAGAGCCGGCCGCTGTCATAGGTGAAAACTAGCTACGCAGTACCCTGCGCCCCACCAGTGCTATAACTACCACTTACCCCAAGGGAAACAAGGAAGTAAAACCCCCAAACCCTCGGGGCGGCCAAACGCCAAGCAGCGAAAAGCCAACGGAGGTAGACCCAAGGTGACTTGTGGAAGGCAACCCCAAGCCCCAAGGGCAGTACTTACAGGGCACTCAGGGAAGGTGACCCTAAGCACATGCAGCCCGAGTACCTGAGAATACTACTCCCAGCTCACACGACCACCGTAAGAGCAACACTGCAAACAAGTCACAGCACTGAGACAAGACTGGAGCTGGAGCCACACGACCGTGCATTATCCCATCAGCCGAGGAACTGGGGCGGGGATCGCCGGCCCGCGGGGTCTGGGGCTCCCCCTTCCCCCTCCCGGGGAGGGGGGAGCTGCGCAGACATGCGGCGCGGCTCGTGTGACGTCATGCTTGTTAGTTCGTTTTCCTGGGGAAGTTCTGTCCACTCGTTTGTCGATTTTTGTTGTTAACCAGAATAGGGGTTTGTTTTGTGGCGCTTACCTTTCTGGGTGCTTGTCTCGGTCGATGGCAGATATAGAATGCTCCAAATCACATGTGAATTTCTATGGGCCATTGCTCCCCGTGCCTCTCTGAGGGGGCCAGGTTCTGGCTCGTGGTCCCCGGTAGGCCTAGAACTCCACCCACATCGACTGATGCAAAATAGTTAGGGTATCCATATCAGCCATGGATAGCTCCGGGGAGCCGTAGGGGCTCCCCCCAGAAAAACAATAAAAATTAACACAAAGTTTGCAAATGTGAAATGTTGCCTAAAAATTGCAAAAAGTGTAAAATACCTAGCACAGCAATGGATTAGTTCTAACTTGAACTGAGCCATCTGAGAAGAGTTGCATTGTAGTATACAGGTACTTCTCTGCACTAACACATCATAAAAAGAATTTATATTCTTTGATGACTACAAATGTAATGTGCCAATATTTTTTAACTACAACTTTCAGTACTTGCCTGGGTTTGACTTTTGTTCTTTGTAGAGACCTTTGTTCTGTAAGCTTGGCGGCGACGTTTGAAGTCTCGCAATGCCTGTTTTAGCTCTAGCTCTGACAGTCCTTTTGGTTGATTATCTACAGGAGCTAATGTTTCCTGAAATAAATACAATACTTTTTATTCAAAGCAATAAAAATAAAGAAGATATAAAGGATAGTAAAAAATAATCATTGAATTTTATACACAATATTCAAATCTTAATGAAATTATAACATTTGACCTAATACACTGATCTTTCACAAATTTGGACTAACAACGTTCTGAATAACTGTCAAAATCAAGACCAAATTTTTTTATATCCTTAAAACAAAGGGTCGAATCTTCATTGCAGAGCTTAGTGGCAGTTATAGTAATTACTGTTGATTTACATATTAAAACATTTTATTAATAAAAAAAAATCTAGCATTGAATGTAATGAAACCTCTTTCTGGTTAGACATCAGTGACTCCCTGAAGCTAGTTCACTGAGGTAGCTCCATACAGAGGACACGTCAACCCAAAATGTCCTAATTGACTTCGAGACCAGAACCAAAACCAGGTAACGAGCTGCCAGGCTTGTTACCTGATCAATATTGTATAACAGGATACAATACAGATTTAACATTTTTAGGGGGATCCCAATAATTTAGATGTTTGATTGAGTAGATTTTGGGATTAAAACATCTTTAAATTCCCTTCAGGTCCATCCCATTCTCCTGATTGGATAGTACTTATAGAAACGATGTGGACCATCGTACATATATTGATGTAAAAGACAATTAGATAGTAGAAATTGGTACTATTGAATTTGGACAAACCCGAAAAGTTTCTGTACTGATGTTGCAGAGAAAAACTTACCTAACCTAACCTTCCCAGGCCTAATACATGCTATCTGAGGCCAAAGATGGTACATATATGTGCTATACTAGGCCTAGGAATATTTATGTTTGTGTTTTAGCATTTTTTTAATTCAATAAAGTGAATAGTAGCAAATTCTACTATCTAATCGCATTTTATGTCAATATATGTACAATGGTCCATATAGTTACAAAATTACTATCTAAATAGGAGTATGGGTTGTCAGGTCAGGAATTTCTCCAGATTTGAATGGGGCTCTTAGTGTCCAACAATATTCCACTCTAGAGAGTACTAATGTCTTAAAAAGTATTTTCATTTATGTGGCATCTCTTAGAAGGTTCATGTTATCCAACTTGTCATTTGGTCAAAACGACTATGTCTCTTTGGTGGGTTTCCCACCTTTTTCTGGTCTTGCAACGGGATTCTTCGGATCTCCTGTTCATCCTCAATTTTTCATGGTTGAACTGGTTTATTCCATGGCACTCATTATGGATGACCATTGTGTCCCAGGTCCGTCTTGCTCTCGAGCCAGACACTTGGATGATATCCTTGGCCCTCCAGGATGCTTACTGGCATGTCCCCTATGTATTCGAGGTTCAGGGATTTGGTTACCGTTTGTAGTGGGGTGTAATGTATGTTTGTGTGTATTGGGTGATAACCCGCCAAACACACGACGAAACTACGACGTTGCTACAACGTTCGAACAAGTTATAACACCACCTAACAACTTGTAACAACCAATATAGTAAGTTGTAACAACTTTCTAATAAATCACAAAAAGGTATAAAAAGATGTAACAACTTTATTACAAGTTGTAACAAGCGGAAAATAGGGTCAGTTACGTTGAGTGTTTGCAGGAAAGAAAGAATATAGTGTTTTTTATATTTATTATAGTCTTGGTTACAGCAGTCTGTTTGTTGGCAATGTAGTGAAGTGTCATAGTAGCTGAGACGAAGTCTGGAGCAGGGCAGAGAGGTTGAGTGAGACTGGGGAATAGAGAGCTCGGATGCAGGGTTTTCTTGAGATCTTGAGGTAATCTTGAGATGATTTCGGGGCTTAGTGTCCCCGCAGCCCGGTCCTCGACCAGGCCTCCACCTCCAGGAAGCAGCCCGTAGCAGCTGTTAAACTCCCAGGTACCTATTTACTTTGTACCTATTTTGGTAACAGGGGCATCAGAGTGAAATAAAAAATTTGCCCATTTGTCTCCGCCTCCACCGGGGATCAAACCCGGAACCTCAGGACTACGAATCCGAAGCGCTGTCCGCCCAGCTGTCAGGCGCCCCTTGTACACTGACAGATGAGAGTGTAGAGCGTGGAGCTTTGAATGTGGGCAGGGTCAAAGAGTTTGAATGCGTGAAGAGAGCATGGAAGCTCGATGGTTCGTTATGGTGACATTCAGTACTCACTTGGATAAAAGTGCCCATTTTTAGGGGAATAAAGTATGCAATGTGTTATAATCTAGAAGAAAATGAAGTTGAAGCAGTTGAAAAACCTGATTTCTGGAGAGGACATTATGGGGAACTTTAAATTTTCTTTAAGGAATTTGACTGGAAAGACTTACTCTTAGGACATGAAGTAAATGAGATATATTTCACAAAACTTGACATACATGATAAAGGCACAACAAAATTTATTCCAAAGCAATGATGCAGAACTAGGAAACGGGATTGTTTCAACAGAAATTGCAAGAGGGCCATAGACCAAAAGACACAAAAATGGAATCAATATATGAAGAGGCCAAACATACCAGCAATACAAAGATGTGAGCCCGAGGCCAGGCTCGACAAATGCCACAGCTCCTTGTGCCTTGGTGAGGGGACCAGGCTCTGGCTCTTGGTCCCCAGTAGGACAGAGAAATCCTTGACTGATGGCACCTACATTAGAGACGGTAGCTTCTGGGAGCCCCTGGGACTTGCCCAGAAATTGGCCTTTCATTACATTCAATGCTTTTTTTTTATATCAGTTTTCTTTATTCCAATATTACTGAATAATATGATTGATATAAGTGTTAAGTGATTTGGGCAAGCATGGGTTGGCTAAGATCTAAACTAAAGCAGAACAGTGCAGCATTTAATGGTGCAGGAACTGGTCTGATACATCACCAATGTTTTCATGTAGTCTTATAAAAAAAATATTTGCAAAGGACTAAAAGAGATGTTTCCTTAGACATTCCAAGAAACCTCAAAAGCATCAAGTTATTGCCAAGAAAATAAAACATACCAGTGGAAGAATTTCTGGTGGTACTGCCACTGATGAAGCATTTTGTAAAGAATATTCATACATGGCCAACCGCTCCTCTCTTGAGAAATTGACCATCAGCTCCCCTGCAGATGATGGAGGCTGGCGAGTGTCTTCATAACCTGGTGAATAACAATGTAATATTTAATAAACTACAGCTGTACATATGCTTTACACTTCATGCCTTATGTGGTAATGTAATCTTAAATTATGTAAGCAATAACATAAAAGAGCAATACAGTACTGCATACATAAAATGTATGCCAATAATTAATGGTAATGTCTTATCAGACATAATACCACAGGACAAAAACTTACATGTAAGGATTTGAACTACACCAAGTCTTTCACACTTTCTTGAGTGCATTATCAAGGTCTGAGTAGAGTGCAACCTTGGTTCAATGAACTATATGGGACCAACCCAAATTTTTTCAGTAAGGGATTCATTGCAGCTGGAGATGCCTCCAGGAGGCTCATATTAGTGAAGGAAAGCCAAGGAATCTCAAAATGAAAATGAAGCATAGAATTTGGGTTCGACCACTTAACTGAGAAAAATTGTGCAATTTCTTTATAATTAGGCCACATTTTAATGTTTTTTAATGTTTGCATCACTTTTTGTGATTTGAAATGAACATGGTTGAATTTGGAAACATTTTAACATTAATAATTTTATCACCTTCGCTTGGTAAGAACTCAGCATTGAGTCCTCCGTTTAACAGAGTGCTGTCTGGTAAGGACTCGGCATCAAGTCCTCCATTAAAATATTTGCCAAAAATCCAGTTTTTATCCAATTTTATTGGGGACTGGTTTTAAAATGCGCGCCAAAGCACCGCACGCCGCTTTTGTTAGGCCATGTGGCACCCAGGCAGCTCAGCCCATTCCGTAGGCCCATTGTTTACGCTCCACTGTTGTGACCAGTGTTGCCTCCCCTTGCGTCTCGAACGTGTGAGCTTTTCGGCTATTTTCAGTGGCTAAATTTCTTAGTGCACCTATGGATACTATCTGCATTTACTCCACGATGAATAGTGATCACGAACAGAGCAATTCCAGGAAGAAATCAGCGAAAGAAATGTGTCATAAGGAGAAGCTAAGTAGTTTTCACCAGAAGTACAAACGAGTGAGACTCGCACCCTCTAAGTTTCAGGCTGTATTTGATGATTTATCCGAGTTATCTAGTGACGAAAGTGTTGTTGAGACTGACACTGATGAAGTTAGTGAAAGTATTGAAATGGAAACAGCAGAGGAGGATTTTGATAGTGATGAAAGTGAGGAGCCCTAGGTTGAGACTGTCACACGTGCAAGGTGAGGTACTGGGGCTCGTGTCAGAGTCAAACATACCCCAACACCAACAAATTCTGATGAAGGGTGGTATAGTCACAATACTCCACCCTTTGTAGACAGTTCTGTAGGAATACCAGGCTTGACTGTTCCTGTACCTAGCACTCCTTTGGGATTTATTCAACTATTTCTCACTCAAAGCTTACTGAAATATATGACTTATGAGATTAATTTGTATGCTTCCCAAAGCAATGCACGTACTGGGACTACGACAAACAAGAGATGGGAACCAATAACAGTGAAAGACATGGCACGATATGTGTGACTGACGATCTTAATGGGTATTTGCCCATTACCAAGAATTAGAATGTACTGGCAAACAGGTAGATTCTGGCACATACTATGTTTCAATACCTTTATGACTAGTAAACGATATGAAATGACTGGAAAGTACAGTATTTTCATATTTTAATAATAAGTCCATTCCACAAGGCCAAAATGTAGACAGACTAATCAAAGTTTGATCAGTCATGCAATATCTCACAAATAAATTCAAGACATTATACATTCCTCAAAAAAATTTGAGTTTGGACGAAGGCACAATGGTATGGCATGGCCGTCTAGCTTTCAAGATCTATAATCCCAATAAACCTGATAAATATGGAATAAAGCTCTACATGCTAGCTGAATCCAACACTGGCTACATCTTTGATTTTGAAATTTATGCAGGAATTGGTAAAACGACGATTGAAACGGTAATGGGCTTGATTGAACCACTGAAGAACAAAGGTTACCATTTATATATGGACAACCAAAACAAACCCCTATTCTGGTGAAAATTGCTACCTAAAGCCAAACTAGAGGATAGAACTCTTCAACAGAAAACAAGGAAACTAGTATGACGTCATACGTCACCGCGCCGCTGTCTGCGCAGCTCCCCCCTCCCCGGGAGGGGGAAGGTGGAGCCCCAGACCTCCCACACCGGCTATCCACCCATCAGTTCTGAGGCTGGATGTCAAAACACGCGAAAAACCGCCGACCGGAGGGAGGGAGGGTTGCCGGGGAGCCTCCAGGTCTCGCACAGAAAATGGCGTTTCATTACATTCAACGCTGGTTTTCTGGGGGGAGCCCCGTCGTCTTCCCGGAGCTAACTACCCACAGAGGAAGGTCAAAGGGACAGAACCGGGAGGCAGACACCACGCACCCCCCACGGAAGCGAGACAACCGGCAGCAAACGCCAACCCATGGCGCCACAGCCCCGAAAAGTCCCGGGAACAACACGAGAACAACGAGCAGCAAGGCCCCCGCACGAACACCAAAAATTCATGTCTGTAAGACCGTAAGGCCACGTCGCGCAGACGGCAGCGAGAGCAGAGAAGCCACGAACGCCACAGGCATGAGGGAAGAACACAGGCAGCTTAGCCGCAAGAACACGGCTGACCACCTGGGACACCATCACCCGCGAACCGGGAAGAACAGAACCGGATCAACGCAAAACGCGCTCCGGACCCAAACGCTGTGGCACGCAAACAACAGCGGAGGGCCGCCACTGAACACAAAACACGACACACCCCCGGCCCGACCAACGAAGCACCAACAAACCCGGGACCCCTCCAGAATGCAGCAGCCCCACCCTGCGCCAGAAAAGATGGAGACTGCTGCCACCGAACAACCAAAACGCTAAAACCGAAGGAGCAAGAAAACCCAGCAACTCGACCCCCAGAGGCAAAGGCCAAAAGGAAAGAGCCGACGAAAAAACACACCAGAACCGAAGGGGCACTATCAACCGAGGAGAAGACAGAGCACGCTGACCAGATACCAGGATGGTGCAAGCGGTGCACGAACAGGCCGGAGGTGAAACGACGCACAAGACAGCTTACAAACGGTGCAGAAGCAACACCAAGACCGAAAGCAAGCCGAAGCCACAAAAAAGGGAAATGCCAGTGTTTGTCGGTGGACTTGCAGTTGGTGAGTGCCAGGTACAGAAATGTGATCAAATACTCTTGGTACGGTGGAAAGACAAGAGAGAAGTGAACCTGCTGACAACCGTTCATGAGGGTACAATGTTGAACAGTGGCAAGGTGCACCGTGTAACGAGAGAACCAGTATATAAGCCAGATTATGTTCTTGACTACAATATCAACATGCGTTTGATTGATAAGGCTGACATGATGATTGGCACTATCGAGTGTGCAGGGGAAATGTTGAAATGGACGAAAAAAGTGTTTTTCCATCTTGTTGACACGAGCATGTTGAACTGCTATAATTTGTACCTGGTGAAAACTGGACGTAAACCTATTTTCCGTACATTTGCTTTTACACTTGCAACACACTTATTAGCAAAGTTTGGTCAAGAAGTCCCTGGCATACGAAGACCAATCATGAACCCAGTGTTGCAGCATGATGCAACACCCAGGCTCGCTCACATAGATGCCTTTCAGCAACACAGACTAAAGAATTTGCCAGCAGATGGAAAGCGTGCAATAGGCCAACATGCATGCGTAGTATGTAAAACAACAAAACGAAGAAAGCAAAAACGTAAAATGGTGCAAACATGGTGTGAAGGGTGTGGAGTTGCATTGTGTGCTGTCGACTGCTTCAATGACTACCACACACTCCAAGACTTCTAAATGTGCAATAATAGTGCAAAAACCTGTACATAGTGCGTGCTAGTGTGTACATATAAAATAATGAACATTGTGATTACTGTACATAATATAATGCCATAATGGAAAACGTTTGTGTGTGCATGTGTATACTCGATGTGTGCAACATATATTGACAATAACTGTCAAGTGACATTATGTGCAACATAATTAGTGACTAATATTGCAAAGAATACATGCATAAACACTGTAAATAATGACACGAAAATAAATTCGTGGCAACTGTGGCTGCTTGAAGACCGCGCGCGACGCCTCCAGGACGCACCGTGCATGAGCGAACATGCAAACTGTGACGTCATCATCCATATTCTCGGCTCAATTACATCGCCGGTAAGTACAATTGAATTTTTTTTTATTTTTCCCGTGATCAGGGAACATGATTTAACAGGTTGGGAAAAAAAAATAATTTTTTTTTTTTTTTTTTTTTTTTTTGCACCTGTGGGTGTCAATCAGTATATAGCCATGCGCCATTTAAGGGTTAATGTTCTATTATTATGGGACTAGTTTTAAAATATGCGCTTTTATATTGTGAACAATTTGATACCAAAATGAAGAACGTGACGCGAAAATTTATGTCAGAAAGACAATAAATGTCACAAAGATAATAAATACTTTTGTGGTCCAAATTTTAAAATATTTCCTAAAATTCAATTTAATGTTCTATTACTATGGGACTAGTTTTAAAATACACGCCTTTATATTGCATACAATTTGATGCTAAAATGAAAAATGTAACAAAAAAATTTGTGTCAGAGCACTGGAAATATATCAATAATTTTGTGGTGATGAGCATCCAAAAGTTAAAATAATTGTTAAAATTCCATTTATTGTTCTATTATTACGAGACTAGTTTTAAAATATGCGCCTTTATTTTGCAAACAAATTGATACCAAAATGAAACACTTAACATGAAAATATGTGTTTTCAAACTGAACGAGTATATACATTAGTCTGTAGGTGTGCCAATTGGTGCTTGTTACGACCCTGGGTTCTTTAGTTGGAAACCAGAAGTCAAAATTGAACTAAATAAACTATCTTGTAGTAGTGGACACGCTTGTCGACGTGTAATTGTTCGTATCTTTCCTGCCAGACGTAGACAATTCTTGTTGCTCACAAAGCATTCAGACTCTTGAGCTTGTTGTGGATTAAGTAACATTGTTATAAGATTAACTATCCTTAGAACGAGTAAAGTAACAATAGGAGGCATAGGGGAAAATGTTTTAATGTGTATAGCTGCACGATCAATTAGGCTCTTCCCGGCACCACACGAATGCGGGAGGCTGAGCTGGGCTGAAGCGGCCTTCTCTGGTGGCTGGCTGTGGTGAAAGGAACCTCCTCTCCTTCCTCTTCGTTTCCTTATTTCTGTGTCTTGTTCAAGCTAAGTATCTACCGAGTACATTATTCAATCTCTGGCATACTCATGTTATATGTGTAGAGTAGTATACTTTGTGTGTAGTAGGTGTTTTTAGAGTTTATATTACTAGTTATTCTAAAGGGGGTTCCATTGGAACCACGTGGTCCCCCTACCCTAAGCTGACTCTAACTTCAAGTAATTCAATAGTAGAGCTTTACCCTAGCTTGTGTTCAGTGTAAAACCTTGTACCCTGCTTATGTGGACCAAGGCTTTTAACGTAAGGTAGTGTGGTAAAGTTATTATTATTATTGTTATTGGTGTGAATGTATATGGGAGGCTGTTAAGGGGTTAATAATGAATTATTAATGTACATGAATTATAAGAGTATCGTTCTTCCTGTGTAGGAGATCTTGATCATTCCCTAGACTGACCTTGTTGTGTAGCCAAGTAGTCAGCACTACTTCTAGTTTCCATGGGGGCCGGGCCTTACTGATCTCCCCAAATAGATACATCTTTATTCTGACTGACCTTACCCCTGAATAGCCCTAGATTCCCCATAGTCCAGCACTCTCATTCATGGGTAACTTGGCCGACTTTAGGCTTTGTTGTAAGGAGTCATGCCGGGCTTTTAGACCTTATATGCATATACTCCTGTGGAGAATTCTATTGTGAACACAATGATACCGAAACAAACGACGTAGCACAAGAAATAAGGTGAGAAAACTGAAACGAGAATACACATTTTACTGATTTTGCGCGCTTACGGGTAACTTTGCAGACTTTAGGCTTTACTGTGGGGGAGTCACGGCGGGCTTTTGGACCTTATATGCATATACCCCGTAGAGAATTCTATTGCGAACACAATGATACCAAAACGAACAACATAGAATGAGAAATAAGGTGAGAAAACTGAAGCGAGCATACACTTTTCGGTGTTGCCGCAAGCTTGCCCACACTGAACGGTGCATGACATCATTTCAGTGGCGCGCTCGCATGGAGTGCGATAGTGTTAAGAAGCACATCAACAAACTGGAAAAGGTGCAAAGACATGCTACTAAGTGGCTCCCAGAACTGAAATACAAGAGCTACAAAGAGAGGTTAGAGGCATTAAATATGCAAAAACTAGAAGGCAGAAGAAAAAGGGGTGATATGATCACTACGTAAAAAAATACTGTAGTAACAGGAATTGATAAAATTGATAGGGAAGATTTCCTGAGACCTGGAACTTCAAGAACAAAAGGTCATAGATTTAAACTAACTAAACAAAGCTGCCGAAGAAATGTAAGAAAATTCACTTTTGCAAGCAGTGTGGTAGACGGTTGGAACAAGTTAGGTGGGAAGGTGGTGGAAGCCAAAACTGTCAGTAGTTTTAAAGTGTTATATGACAAAGAGTGCTGGGAAGACCGGACACCACAAACGTAGCTCTCATTCTGTAACTACACTTAGGTAATTACAGTCAAGAAACAAGCACAAAAAGAGACCGAAGAGCAATGACGAAAGGAGGGATGTGGTAAAAAAATGCCAAGATTATAAAATATTTTCCAGATTTGTAAATTATACTTAGAAAATACTGAATATCATATACAAAACTATTAAAGCATTTAAATTTTTATTTAATAGAGATAAAGAACTTTCTTCTCTCTTAACAATTCGTAAAAGGATACTGTCTAGGGAATCCAGATACATACTGCTGAAAAGAGAGTAAATAGCATTAGTCAATGCTGGCACTAAAAACCGTTTTACATCAGACATACCCTATTGTCATATTCATGAGTGATAAATACACCATCTTTTATTCTTTGTGGATTTAAGTTAAATAAATCAGTAAAATGTACTAACCTGTCTGTCTGAATGGCATTAGTAGATTTCTTTGCTTGTCTGCATCTGTAAAAACAATTACATAATGTAATAGTAACTTTAATTCAAACCTCTAAAAACATAAAATATAGTACAGTACTGAAAACCCAGTGCTGAATGTAATGAAACACCATTTTCTGGGCAAGCCCCCGGAGGCTCCCTGAAGCTATTCAAACTGATTTATGCCATATGTTTCGGGTCATCATTCATGGGAGTTCTGTGCCTACCGGAGATTATGAGCCAGAACCTAGTCCCCCTCAGAGAGGCGCAGAGAACAATGGCCTTATGAGCACTCTACATTTAGAGTATGTCATGTCTGCCATTGACCGGGGAGGGCACCCATGAAGATAGGCGAAACAATACAAACCCTCCCAACGGGTAAAATTTGTAACTTACGTCCGAACTGAACCAAAGAACTCCCGCTCAAAAGAAAACAAACAAGCAAATTGAAATCCAACTAGCACACCTGCTTCTTATGGTTCCCCCCCCCCCCCAACAGGGGAGGGAGGGGAAGCCCGCTCATGCAAGCCAGCAGCTCACCCCCCTCAGTTCGAAGAGTGATGAAAACTGTCGACTGGAGGGAGAGAGGGTGTCAGGGATCATGAGGGTAGACCGCAGGCTGGCTAGATTTATGAACCCTGCGGACAACCCGAGAGACACGAATATTATTAGGATAATAAAAAGTTATAAAAATACTTGTTTCATGAATGCTTTATTGCATTAGATGGAAATTCTCCAGTCTGGCAATCTACTGCCACCTACAGAAGGGTCTCTCGGGGATGGAGGGAGTGAGGGAAAGTGAATGTGGGCGGGACAGAGGAAGTGAACAGCAGTGAGGGGTGACTCCCTCCCTTCCTGGTGGTAATGTACAACGAGTGTTAGGCCACTGATCCGGCCAAACACCTGCTTTTCCGGCTCCCATGGACATTTTGGCCTGATAGTGAGATAAAGTTATCGGGCCAAGATTTTAGCCGGATAGAGCCGTTTCCCGGATGGTCGGATTCCGAATAATCGCGTGTCTGACTCATGCAGGTGACTCATCGCCTGCAATCGCGTGTCTACAGTAGTTACGAACTCCCGCACCATGCTGTGAGCCCGAAGGAAGGACGGACCCCACCGACCCTCGCTGGCCTGGTGAGTATGTCACAAAGCCCCAACCAATAGACGACGCAGTCATGAATACATCGAGAGAGAGCTCGGGTAGGCGCTTAGGCATTGAACCCTGAAAAACCCGAAGAGGAAAACCGCGACGCAGCAACCGACGCAAAGCCCCCAGAGTCCAATCCCAGCAGTCGCAAGAGAAGTAGAAGGAACGTCTCCAAAGGACCCAGAACAGCCGACGGAAGCCCAGGCAGGGAATGATTCAGCCATTCTGTTTTCGTCAACCAATGACACAAACTGCCCCCTACCCAGAGGCAAACAGGGGAAACAAAAACCCCAGGTGACTCCCCGGTAGGCTGAACTCCATGCACTTTGATGCCAGAAAGCTAATATATCCACATCTTGAGGTCATCTTGAGAAGATTTCGGGGCTTAGCGTCCTCGCGGCCCGGTCCTCGACCAGGCCTCCTTTTGGTTACTCACTCCCCAGGAAGCAGCCCGTAGCAGCTATCTAATGCCTAGGTACCTATTTACTGCTAGGTAACAGGGGGTATCAGGGTGAAAGAACCATTTTGCCCATTTGTCTCCGCCTCCACCGGGGATCAAACCCGGAACCTCAGGACTACAAATCCGAAGCACTGTCCACTCAGCTGTCAGGCACCCTGGCGACCACATCAGCCTGGATAGCTCCAGGGAGCCGATGGGAGCAGACGGGAGCCGAAGGGACACCCCACCCCACAGAAATAATATCAAGTTCCATTTACTTTGGCGGTGGGTAAGTAGAGAAGGTGCGCCGTGACATCATCAGGGGCTGGTCACTCATGCATGAAGCTCCCAGACACGCTCGTGCAGGCCATTCAAACCTCACAAGTTGCCACAAATATATTCACAAATAATATTCCTATGTATTTTCAATGCTTTATCATTTTTTTTGTATCGTATCTGATACATATTTGTGTCCTTTACTATATGTATACAGTAGAATGTTCATAATGTTCCATGGAACTGTGATACATGTGTCAGTAATGTGTCCACAATAAATGGTTATTATCTCAATATTACTTGCTCAAAATTCACTGCAATTACAATATGTACAGTTTCACACACTATTTATACAGTCACACACTGTATAACACACATACAGTACTTCAGAAGCAAGTGATAATCAACAAAGCAGTCCATGGTACACAGTGCGACCTCGCTCTCGTTGAACCAGGTATGAATTTCGCTTCCTGTTTCTTCATTCTGTGTGCCTGCATATAACATACTCACATACACCCCTTGACTTTAGTACCTGTAGGTGGTATGTAGCCAAGCTTGTGAAGTGTAAGGTAGTCTTGAAAAGATTATTGGAAAAGATCAATTTGTATGGTAGTCTTGAAAAGATCGCTTTGTAAGCTATTCTGGAAGAGATTCAGCCATTCTGAAAGAGATTTAGCTATTCTTAAAAAGATCTATGGAAAACACTACTTTTCTTGTGCCTGGGTGTGTTGCAGGCTATAATTCCAAGTGCCTCCCAGGAGTTAAGTACTATATATATCCAAGATACCTAACTTAATTTTACAGGACAGTTATAACATCTGAAAAAAAAACAACGTTGAATGTAATGAAATGCCCTTTTCTGGGTGAGACCCGGAGGCTCACCCAAGCTACCCGGGCTGATATTAATGCATTAGACCCTGGCATCAGTATTAGACCGGGGATCACGAGCCAGAACCTGGCCCCTTCAGAGAGGCACGAGGAGCATTAGTCTACAGAAACCCCCAAGTAGTTGGACGCATTCTATGTCTGCCATCAACCGGGTTAGGCACTCAGAAAGATAGGCGCACCAAAACAAAGCCTATCTGGTTAAAAAATTGCTCCTGAAAGCTGAATTGTTGGACAGAATTCCCCAAAGGTAAAACGAGCATGATGTCGCAACCATCACCATACAGCTCTCACACCACCCTTGTCCACATTCCCCAGACACTCCCTACACCAGCTATCCACCACCAGTTCTGAGGCTGGATGTCAAAACATGCAAAAACCGCCGACCGGAGGGAGGGAGAGCTGTCAGGGAGCCCCTTTGGCTTCCCCAGAACTACAGTACTTAATCCTTAGACAGCACAATACATACACAGATGATTTCAGTAACAAAACCGGTACTGCGCAATACATTAATAGCTGTTTTTGTGTCTAGCGCTCTAGCGCCCCAAGTGGAATAGGGGCAGCTATAGTGCGGCCACGACCGTTAGTTGACAGACGCCACCTAGAAAAAAAATCGTGGCCAACATTCCTGGGTGTGAGAGCCTCAGTAGTGAGCAAGCCACCAAAGCTGACGCACACAGCATGAGTGCACAGCACTGCTGTTCAGCTTGTGACCACAGCATCGCCTCAAAATGTCAAAATATACATGTACATGCTATTATTCAGCGATGATATTATTACAGAAGACCCTTGACAGTGATAAAACTGATCAGGATTCTGATAATAGCAGGATTGTGGTGATATTTAGCGCTGTGCTCCATGGAGGGAGGAGTAAGGCTGTGGGAAGGAGGGTGGTGGTGTCGTCTTCTGACTGTGTGTGGCCAATTTTTATTGACTGCACTCACCATACCAGATTAGTGGTTCACTATGGTGAACACAAATGTAGATACTTATATATAACGTGTGTATAAAGTGTAATAACAGCAATAGGAGTAGGTTGGGAGCCGAAATTTTGGTGAGGGAGGTGCGTCAACTGCACGACCTGTCATGTTGTTTACTGGTGGCCACTATGGTCTTTGGGCACCATACCAGCTTATTTGTACAGGTATGGTGAATAAAACATGTAGATACTTATATATAATGTGTGTGTATATAGTATAATAACACCACAAACAGTATTGTTGAAGGAGAAATATTAGTGCATCTGACCTTGAGGGCAACCGCCACCAGCTGACTGTGTGTGTCACTACGTCTTATTGCCTTTACTCACCATACAAGCTTAGATGTACAGTTATGGTGAACAAAACATGTGGATACTTATATTTAACGTCTGTGTATAGTAAATAAAAGCAAAAACAGTAAGGTGGGAGGAGAATGTTGGCGAGTGAGGAGGTGAGTGAGGGAGTGGTGCATAGTGGCTGGCTGGCGAGTAATTACCTAAGTGTAATTACCTAAGTGTAGTTACAGGATGAGAGCTAAGCTCGTGGTGTCCCGTCTTCCCAGCACTCTTTGTCATATAACGCTTTGAAACTACTGACGGTCTTGGCCTCCACCACCTTCTCACTTAACTTGTTCCAACCGTCTACCACTCTATTTGCGAAGGTGAATTTTCTTATATTTCTTTGGCATCTGTGTTTAGCTAGTTTAAATCTATGACCTCTTGTTCTTGAAGTGCCAGGTCTCAGGAAATCTTCCCTGTCGATTTTATCAATTCCTGTTACTATTTTGTATGTAGTGATCATATCACCTCTTTTTCTTCTGTCTTCTAGTTTTGGCATGTTTAATGCTTCTAACCTCTCCTCGTAGCTCTTACCCTTCAGTTCTGGGAGCCACTTAGTAGCATGTCTTTGCACCTTTTCCAGTTTGTTGATGTGCTTCTTAAGATATGGGCACCACACAACAGCTGCATATTCTAGCTTTGGCCTAACAAAAGTCATGAACAATTTCTTTAGTATATCGCCATCCATGTAATTAAATGCAATTCTGAAGTTAGAAAGCATAGCATAGGCTCCTTGCACAATATTCTTTATGTGGTCCTCAGGTGATAGTTTTCTATCTAGAACCACCCCTAGATCTCTTTCTTTATCAGAATTCTTTAAAGATTTCTCACATAATATATAGGTTGTGTGGGGTCTATGTTCTCCTATTCCACATTCCATAACATGACATTTATTAACATTAAATTCCATTTGCCAGGTGGTGCGCCATATACTTATTTTGTCCAGGTCTTCTTGAAGGGCA